CTTGTTAGCACGTCAATGTTGCGTAAACACAAAGTGGCTTGCTTGTGGCTTTAATGTGCGAAAAATCATTAATTTGCATTTGTGTTTGGCGAGCGGCATGTGCAACAACAAGAAAGTAAAAAAAATTTTACACCTAAAATTTTCAATAACACACACACACATACATATATACTATATATCCATGCACATCCGTATATGTGTTTAAGTTGGTGCCGCTAAGAATTGTAGTTGAGGAATTCGCTATTAATTTTGGCTTTGTTGTTTGGTTTATCGTCATGCCTCGTAACGTCCGTCTGTCCACCGGTTGGCCGATCTGCATGCCTGTTTGTCGCTTTGTCTGCCAGCTTGTCTACACGTTTGTCGGTTGTCAGTACAAAATGTAATTGAATTAAGTGCTGCCATTGCAATTCGATATGCCACAAAGCGCCGCACAAAAACGACGAAAACCCACCGTAGCGCTAGTTGTCATGAGCAAATAAGCCAAACACGTAGATATGTACGTACGTATGTATGTATGTGTGTATGTAGTTGCTCTTACAGTTTGAAATTGATTTAGATTCGCTTTGCCTTGCGGCTTTTGAATGCGAAGTGTGAATAATCGGAATGTTTCTAATGAATATTGGAGTATGTATGTAAATGTGCTCGTTCGTATAAACGGTCTTATTCATGATACGCAAATTTGAGGGGCAATAAATTATATCGAGTACAGATCGAATCTACAGTGGTACTTACAATATAGCTAAGTGTTGGTACAACATTATTCTCCTATCTCGATGTTACCGGACAATGCTAGTTCCTAGAAGTTTGTCACTTTCAAACAGCTGCAGACACGGTAGATGTTTATTAAGAAGTTACTTGGCTCAAATACTCGCGAAGCCGTAGGTAAAAAAAAAACCTTGGTCTATACTCTTAGATTTTGCATCGGCTGTGATTCGAGAATGTAAATCTGTTCAGTGACAGAAATGTTTAATGGAAAATTTGAAGGCAACTTTTGGTTGTAAGGATGAAAAAGCTGTTGATTGTTTTTATACTTTTGTAAGTAGCAACAAAAATATAGAAAAGTTGGGGTCTTTTACAAAAAATATACCCATATAAAGTTAAGCCTATATTGTATGAGGTCTAAGTACCACCTGATCAAATTTGACCCGGACTGTCAAAACATACATCGCCTTCAAAATAGGCTTCGTTTTTACATAATACAAGCATGGCAATGCTTCTTCGAATTTGTTTATAGATGCTGAATGTTGGGTCCTCAGCTACGTTGTCTTGTCGATGTCGTTTTCGCAAAAGATTCAGATGTTTTAGTACGAGTCTAGCATTGACACGCTTCATATCCAAAGCAATATCCACATTGTGCTGCTTCGATCCATAAGAAATTTCGAGATTCGTCCTATCTCTGAAGTTAAAAGAGCTTATTTCAAGCACTTTTTTTTTAACTTTTTCGATGTCATCTTTATTAACAGAGGTGGATGCACGACTCGCATGAGGCAAGTTTTCGTAAACTTTACGACCTTTACTGAATGCTTTGTGCCGGTCAAAGATTTATGTTTGGACTCTCCAAATACTTCAGCAACACTTTCAACGATTCCATAGCCGTTAATCCATTGAATTTCAAGCAAAGTTGTTTTTCAATTTTTTTCCCATGGTGACTCATCGTCATAAACAAACAGCCGCCACAAACACGCTAATCGACATATGGAGATCAAGCTCCACACAACAAGGGTTGTACTCATCTAGGAAATTTTTTTCTCAATTCGGTTTACGCTCACAGTTTATATGGGGCAAGTGACCGGTGTAAATGTGCAAATGAGCGACTCTTTTTAATGAGACCCCTTGATATACACTAACTATAACTTTAAATAATGAAAACTCAAATAATCAAACCAAAGCGTATATATATTTGTGCACCCAAAAATGCATACCTGAATACCATTACTCTATAACCGAGCCCCACATACATACATATGTAAGTATTGTATATTTACAACATGAACGCAAATTCTAAATTATCAATCGGCACGGAAGCAATTACTAAAGGCGACTTTAGTGATAAAAATGTAAATGCCACAGCGGGCACATTGCCGTGTGTGGAATGGTTGGCGTGTGGATGCCGCGGCACATTTTCGTTTTTGTTGTTATCATTGCCGTTAGAAAACAACAATTGCACCGCCACTACCAAATGTCATTGCAGCTGCAAATGCAACTCTGATAAGTAAAACTCGCGGCGGCAGCCAGTGCAATGCGCCGGTCAGCTGAGCCTTCAACGGTATCAGCGGCTGCTCGCCTTACAGCGGACAGCACCCAAATAATCGCAAAGAGCGCTGCTGGCTGCGTGGTATACGAGTTACACACGAAGCGTGCCTATCGCTTCACTGACATCCAGATGCGATTAAATGTTTCATAAAGAAAATAAATACCAGCAAACCCATATGTATGTAAACTGCATGTATATACCGTTATGTATGTATTTTTACAAATAAATAAGTGCTTACTCTCGCACACATGCGCACGCATGTACACTCGTGTGCGTACTTTACTTTATAATCGCCGCGTATCGCGCTCATTTGTAAGGCTTAAGCGCAGTTTTAATTCCAATAAACAGATATTTGTGCTTGTCTACTTTTCTTATATTTATTATTTCGTTTGCTTCACACTTGTTTTCGATTTTTATTCCATAGTGTTAAAAGTGTTTTGCTTTTCTATTCTATTTTCCATTTCATTTTCATTGTGAGGCACTCACGCCACAACACACATCAATCTATATGCTTGTATGTGTATATGTGTGCATGTCTGGAGTCACAATTTGCCATATCGATAATTTTGATTTAACTTCATTTTCATTTCATTGGAATAAGTCCATATACTAAGTAGACGAGCACTTGCGCTTGGAAATTGGAATGCATTACGATCTGGCTGTGAATTATGTGAATATGTGTATGTGTGTGTGTCGCATATGTGAAGTTGCATTTTGGTTTGGAATAAACTCGACTTTAGTCAGTAGCAGATTTTACAACGATCGACGCGCATACAATTTGACGAATAAAAAATATGGTTTCACAAAAAATTCTATAAGCGTGGACTCGGGTAACTCAACGGGATAATACAAAAAATGTTTCGTGCCAACAGCTATTGTAACTAGTGCTTTTGCACCATTTGAAAATGTATTTGAAATATTGAAGAAAATAAAAATAAAACAAGTGAACGCGCGTGACCTAGAGTGACTTTCTTTGTAACATCTTAATATGTTCTCGCTCGTTTGTTGTGTTATCAAAACCAATTAATTCGAAAATAATCGCAAATATGCATTCAATAAGTCACCTGCACTCGCCCAATTGCGATTTTATGACTAAACTAGTGGCCGCTGAGATTACCGAATATGTAAGTGTGATTTTTATCCGAAAATTGGTCTTCCGAAAGTTACTCATACGCAGTGTCCATCCATCATCTACATTTCTTTATGCAAATAGTTTAGTAAGATTTTTTGAAACCTCAATTACGAGTTTAATCTATCAATTATACCTCAATTATCTTTATGAGCAAAATGCGTTCGGACTCTTGCGGTCAGGCGCTCTTGTGACTTCCGGTAGCTTCATATTGGAGCTTTTGGGTCTTCTATTATTCTAAACTCTAGAAGCTAAAGGCTAAACCTTAATAAAAAAAAGCATTAATAAATAATAGGGGTACTAAAAAAAACTTTATTTAGCATTTAGTTAGAATGATCCGTTTAAGGTCAAATATGCATCGATTTGTTCCATTTTGAAGGTAATTTCATAAAACACCTCTCACAGAAACCCTCGTCTTTGTTGGCAAAAAGCTGGACAGACGATTTTCACAAGCCTCTCTTGAGGGAAATTGTTCACCATCCAAATGCTTCGCCATAAACAGACACAGGTAATAATCATTTGAAAACAGGTCCGCACTACAAGCTTCCGCAGCTTCCGGCGACCCACTATTAACGTGTATGACATTTCATTGTTCTGATGGAACACAATTGTTGACATAGAGATTCGAATTAAGTGTTTGGCCACAGGGAAGCAGCTAATAGTAAATGATACTCTGCCAGCCTGACCAAACACATAGCTAAACCTTCCTGACTATCAATACTGGCGACCGAATCCAATATGGCCGTTATCGCTTAACGTTGTCGTAGTGACCCACTTTTCATCACCAGTAAGCAGCCTTCAGATTGTTGTGTATCTTTGACATCAAAATAACCGGAACGACACATTTTCAGTCGCTTGGCTTACGTTTTCGTCTTTATCAAAGAAAAACTGTAAAATACTTCCCGCTTAATAAAAGCAGATTTAAGCTTAGTTATTTATATATTTTTATTTTCTTTAAAAAACCTCATTTATTTAAGGTTAGTTTCCGCAAATGCCATGCTCTGTAACTTAGGTGATTATAGAAGGCTTCAATTCTATACACAGTAGACGCAGGCATCAATTTATACAGACCTATTAATATGCAAGTATTTTCGTTACTTTTTATTTATTTAAAAAATAAATCAACAGATATAAATGTATATAACTATGCTAATTACTCAATTCCGCAAAGAGTGCAGTTATCTCTTACGAGTTTCCTTTGTATTCAAATGACACACGGACAACAATGCTCCACTTACCTCATTAACTGATCACAAACCGGGTTAAATATTAATAAATGCATCTTCAAGTAAATAAATGAAAGTGAACAAGTGCAGACAGACATTGTGGGCACGCCCATTTGCTTGGCTACATGCACACAAATCTCTATTGCCACTTCCTTTCAAGACAATTGCAACGCGTCCGCCTTAAGGCCATTTATTGCACTTGCAACCACTATGCCACATATGCCATATGTGCAACTATGTACAGTATGTATTTGCATGCGTGTTGCCAATTGGCGCCACCGACTGACTTCCTCGAATACAAATTTATTGTAAAACATAGTTAGTGGAAAACTAAGCCATGAAAATGGAAATAAAAATATTTGCTGTGCAGAACTGTGTTGCATGTCTTGGCTGACGAATGCATCGCGTGTGAAAATGCCAACAATTTATGTGCGAAATAAATCACGGTAACGAGCAAATTTCAATAGTCAAAAAACATCAGAGACAGAAGAGATAAAAGAAGTGCAGTCCGGTGGAACGCATGCGTGTAAGTGCGCGCACAGTGGTGGGCGTCAAAATTTAGATAGCCTGGATATAATATTTATTATAAAAATGAAGTGTAAATAAAAGTGTTCGAATTTTTTAATATTTGAAAATAAATTATTTTATAAGTATCATCGTTTGCCGAAAAAGTTAATTTTAGCACTGCGAATATTGAATATTGCATATGAAAAATGCTACACGTATTTTAGTACTTGCTCGCTGTTTAAAAAATTTTAGACTTTAGTGGTTGTAAAGTTTCCAAAAACGTTACACAACACAACTGTCACTAAAAATTTAACCTATATAAATATCGCAACTACCTTGTTGTCGCTCAGCTCAGAAAATAGTTTAGTATTGAATTAAGCTCGATACACTTGACCGAACAATGCTCATTAATCTTCTTTAACCCAACTGAAACGTAAGTTTTCTGAAGGTCTGCAAAATAGGCCTCCGACTCAACTCACCCGAATTTCTACTTATTTCGACAGCACAGTCTTCGTTCTTCGAAACAGTTCGCGGGGTGAAGTTTACAGTTTCGACTGTTCCTTGTTTCTAGTGAGTAGTAGAAGTAGGTCCAGGTTTCGTCGACGGATCGCGCTTAAACATCAACATCGTGGCTCATAAAGAACAGATGTGCCAACGTTTTGAATTGTTAAACCTTTTGGCGGTCACCATCGAAGCACCAAAGTTCCCGTATCAGCATCCAAAATCAGCATCCGTTCGTTAATGTTAATTTTCTAAAATTTTCGTGCGATTCAACGGAAATTAATAGCAGCTGTCTACGAGAATGCTCTACACGATAATAAATTTCTCTGCAATAGTGGCGTCTTCAGGCAGTGAGCCTAGGTACTTATCGGACCGCCCTCGTACAAGCATATGTCTCCTTGCGCTGATATTATAGTTGAAATTTTTCATTTGCATATATTATTATTGTTATGTTGTTGCTCCAGCTAACAGCCTTTGGTTGCTCTATTTAAAAGCAATGACTATTGGAACTTTTTCGAAGAGAAATTTTCCTTGCATGCAACAGAACCCTCAAAGTGGTGATACTGCTATGCTTTTTCCAGAAAAAATGAAAAGGGAAAATTATTTACTTACACAAATCTACACTATCTTCAAATTAAAACTTTCACACTTTCTTTTCGTCACCTAATGCTGTTTGCTGATTCGCATCAGACAACCGTACGGTGATGCAACTAAGCGTATTTAAAATGTAATTTCTTCACCATCAACGAGGCGTATAAATCACTGCTCCATCACACATCACAAATCTAACATTCCCATCATTTGTCAATTATGCTTTATGATCTGCTACAAAATTGTTACCACACACACACAGGCATACCGCGGCTTAAAGCAACTAAAACTTCGACTGCGCGTCGCCGCAAATGGTAGTGGCAGCAACTTTTACCATGCCACATGCGCATGCGGTAAACCTTTGTGGCACTGCAACAGCGGCAATCAATTTCCACGCATGCTACTTTAGCCGCTGCACGCGCGTGCAATATAACGCACATCATCAACGGCGCGCGCGCGGCTCACACACGAAACCCCACAGTGGCAATGCAATGCACCAACGCTTTCGTTGCGGACAGACAGGCAAACTGACATTGTCAGTTGCTAATTAATAATTTTCAAATTAAACCCATTAGATATGAAATTGGATAAAGAAATTCTCAATTTGTTACAACGCGACGGCACTGTGGAGGAAGCGAAGAGGCAGGCATGCGCGCAGTCTGTGAATTAGTGAGGCTGTGAGGCTTTGGAAGCGCCCGCTGTTGGTCTATGGCAACATACAACAGGCGTGTATGTTGCTGGAGAGTTGCACTCGTATCGCCACGATCACCTGCCGTGTTCACCACAATGCAATTTCAGTTAACGCCACTGCCACATACTATGGCATCTAGTCTTGTTATAGTTGCTATTGCTATTCCAACGGTCAATTGAATTGATAGTATCGCTCGGGGGAGCAGCAGCAAAAACAACAACAATACGTGGTGGCTCATGTATGGAGCTTTTATTACATCGCAATAAGCACGAAAGAAGACAGTTGCAGCTACTGCCGCCTCGTAGGCAACTTCTGTGGTTATGCGCTCACTTTCGTCGCTTTTGTATTTTTTTGTGTGTGCGTTCGTCTACTTGAATGGCGCTGCTATCCATTCATTAAAAAGTTCAGCTAAGGCCATGGCGGCAACGGTAGCAAGCGTGCTATTTACTGTAGTGTGGCACGCGCTCTACTTGCAACACTTTGCATGCGCATTCTGACATTGCCGCAAGTCAAACTATTTTGATTGCGAGAAAATTGCAAAATTGTCATTGTGAAAACATGGTCACACCGAGGGAAGTATGTGGTGTTATGCACTTCAAGATTTCGCATGCGTGTCGTGAAAATTTCCCTTTTGTTGCGCCTATTATCAACGAATTCTGCAAATGACTTTCATTCGATTTTGCTTCGGTGTGAAATTTATTTATTTTCTTACTCATACTTTTACTCTCTGTGGGTACTTATAACTGCATTTTTATTTTTTATTCAATTTATACAATTTTACCCCTTTTGATACTACAAGTATTATGTAAAAAATGTAATAATTAAAATTGCAATAAAAAATGGCTATAAATGCGGAGAATTTTTCGCGCTACAAATATTTGAACTGGAATATATAAAATGAAACAAAATTTTAAATATCTCTAAGGTATTTTATAAGAGTCAGCGTTTATTGCACAATTTTGCAACATTTTGAAATATCAAGTTGGCTAAAGAACGTCGAGAATTTTATAAATTATGGCCTTGGTTCTTATAAACAGATAAACAATGAAGGGTATAGATTCAGCTACATTTAAAGAAACCTCTAATAAGGAAAAGATAACCTTAATCCCTATAACTTAAATGGGTGTCAGATATGATGACATCTGTATCAGCAGAGATAACTCTAATCGGACTGATTGAGTAATTTAACCTCTAACCCCTTTGGGATCTTCACTGGAATTGACAAAACAGAATCAATTTGAGGAACCACTCCATATGATACACTGTTTAAAGATTTTGTATGTGCTTACGATATTAACGTATGTGATATTATAAAGATTGATATGGACTGACTGAGATAAACTTCTTAACGCTTTGACAATAGTTCTTTGTAGTAATATGGAAAATATTCACGAGATTTCGTATGGTGGCGAATCGAACAACAACTGACATATGGTTTAATGAGGTATTCACATACGCTCTTTTATTTTATTCAACCCTATAACTTTGTTATTGTAAATATTGTGATAAGAGAGCAGAGGTGAATAATGTTGTGTAGACTGAACTTCAGATTTCAATTTATCACGAGTATTATAGCCTGATAACATTTGTTCTAATTTTTGAGGGTATGACGCATCGGAATCAACGTTCACACTCGTAGTTTCTCACACATGATTTTATAACATCACAAGTCCAATCATTTTGGGAATTCCAATTTCAAATATTTATTGAAAGTCGCCTTGAAATATAGCCCTCATATAATACTTTCTAATTAAATATTAATCAAATGTTAGACTGATAAGAGAGCACAATGTTTTCTTTTCGGCTAAAGATCATTTAAAATCAGTCCCTCAAACATGAAATCTGCAAACCTCTTCTAATTACTGTGGAAACCTTCAATTTGTGTACTTCTAAACTGCTATATATGCAATATACAATATACAAATACATATAAGCACGCTTAATCTCATTAGCCTGCTCACTTGGAATTTCCCATTTCCCCGCCTCCACTCGCCGCCTGAGAAGCCTTAATTTCTTTTGCATTGACTTAATTACATTTTTCATTGAATTTGTCGCGCCTTATCGCAGCAAAAATTATTGGTAAACAAGTCATCGATACCGTTGTGTCGCACGATTTCAAGCGTCAGCAAAAGCGGGTGAATGGACAATGGGATTTAACGCTACATATATGGCATTTGTATACATGTATTTGTGCAATCCCACAATTGAGAGTAAATAATAATAACTTACGTAAATAAAAAGGACAGTCGAATGCCTATTTGGACCACACATGTTGCATATAAGTGGAGTACACGCTCTGCCATGACACAAAGGCGATTAGATTATGGAAATATAATATATTTGCTTTAGTATGTGCTTCAGTTGTAAAGATATGGGTGGCATCTCTTCAGAGTGTTAAACATATTTTTGCTTTACATTATCATCCGCTTCTTTTGGCTTAGTTTTTTTCGCATACGAGAAAATATAGCGAAACCGCTGATTTTTCATAGTAAAATTGTAATATGAATGTCAACATTAACCCTTGTGTGTTGTAGATGGTCTTTATGACCACCCTGTTCACCCAAAAGTATTTTAGGATAGCCAAGTTGTTTGATATAAACAACCTTTCAAGTCGAATTAAGGTTACTTAATATCTAAGTATTTTTTATGAAGATCTTTATCATGATTTTAAACCGTCAGTTTGTATGACAGCTACGTGCTATAGTGGGCCGATATAAACAATATGTTCACACTACTATAATATGTAATATCGTCATGAAAAATAATCCTTACCGAATTTCGTAAAGATGCCAATAGTTTTCCATACAAGAATTTGAATTTGATAGGTTTGTATGGCAGCTATATTTTATAGTTATCTGATATCGGCGGTTCCGACAAATGAGCAAACTTTTATGGAGAAAGGTGCTTGTGCAAATCGATATGTCAAAAACTGAGGAGCTAGTTGGCGTAAAAACAGGCTGACAGATAAACATAGCTAATTTATACTATATATACACTTTATAGGGCTTACATCATTTCCTTCAGGGTGTTACAAATTTTGTGACAAACTTAACACACCCTGTTCAAATTTATGACGAAAATAGTGCCAAATTTTATGACGAAAATAGTTTAACAATAGTACAATTTTAATGTAGATGCTTGTCTTAAAATTTAACTTTTCTCACTAGATCGTCAATTTGAAACAAAAATGTATGTCATAAATTCCAAAAAAATTGAAGCAATAAATATTTAGATTGGTTTAAATATAAGTGTCATTGAATTTGACGTGAATAAAACCGCCATCAACTACCACACTTAGGATTAAATTGTTAGATCAACACATAAGGGTTAAGTTTATATAAAAGAAAGCCCTTTTTATACAGCAGAGTTTATATTTATTTATAATATACTTTCTAATTAATACTTATGAATGGAATTGTCTTCAAAATATTTGGATTATTTTTACAAATTCGTAATTCCAATGAAATTTCTCGCAATAAATCGAAATATAGTTTAAAAATATTTTTAGATTAAATATAACAATTATACATACAATTTAGTTAGAGAATTATCTAGGTAAAAATAAAATCGTTTTAATTAACTGTATGTGTTCTCACTCATGCATACATACATCTGTCGCAGATATAATTGTAATTGTAAACATCTACCATAATCTAATCCAATATAATCAAAGTAGGTATAATATAAATGCGGAAAGGTATATATACATATATTACGATCACAATAGCAGACTTGCCACCTCTCTACTCTAATACCTGCGCTCCCATACCCAGCACCGCCTTTTTATTCCACAAATTATTCAACTTGCCAGACTGGTGGTGCTGTCGGTTGCCTGCCACATGCACTACTGTTACTAAATGCCAAGAAATCCGGCACGGTTGTGGATAATTCCGGCACAGATTCCATTTTAAGTATAATTTTCGCCTGCTGCAGTGAGCTGTAGAAGCCACGTAGACGCTGATAAAGCGCATAGAAGCGATTACATAAACCCATTACATCGATAGGCGGCAATTTGCCACAAACGTTGGCCATGGCATTAGACGCCTGATCGTATAGAATGCTACATTCAGCGGCAATATTGATGAGTGGTTGCAGGCGGCATAGCGTCTCGGGTGTGGCCACAGCGAGTTGTTGCAAGGTCAAACTCGAAAAGATGGCTTTTTGCAGTGTAAGTAAATGGTCCAAATAATCAAAAATGTCGGTGCACAACTGATAACTGATAGCGCAACAAGCGAAGAGTTGAAAATACAATTTTTACTACTTTTCTCTAATTGCATACTCACCACAGATCCAGATCCCACTCCTTGGTGATGTCGGCTTCCAAAGCGCCTGTGAAGAATGCATAGTTCTGATGGAAGCTGATTTTGTGCAACAACAATTGCAAATACTCGAGTATACAAGCGCATAAAGCATCCGTATGGTAGGCCCAATAATTACTTAATGCATATAATAATTGTTGTTGTGGCGGTTGTTGCATCAGCTCGAGTATTTGTGGGGTGCCATGGCGCAAGGCCGTATGCATCAGATTGCAGTATTTCCAAGCAGTATAGCGATTCATGCGCAGGGGCTGACTCTGAGTCATCTTAAGGAAAACTTCTGCGCCATCCGTTCTATGGGTGAGCAACACAATGGTGCGAGCGCGCAGGCCATCGAAGGGTTTCTCCTTGCCGCTAAGCACTTTGCTCATGTGTTTTTTCTGCGTGAAAAAAATATTTGAAATTTCAATTGCTAGCTAAAAAATTGTGCTTTTTGATTGCTTATTACCATTTCCGAGCGTTCTTTGTGCGTGAGCTCCATTTGAAATATATGTATGTCAATAATACAATTATTCGGACACAAAACTGTTCCAACTAAACCGAGCGAGTACTAGTGAACGAATGGGGAGCGAAATTTGCTTATCTCTACAAAAATAGCCGACTATAATTTGTATCTCTACATCAGTATGTTTGTATATATGTATGTATGTTTATATGCAGAGTAGAACGTCTATTAGTAATTTTCGATTAAGTGCGATTTTTTTCGACTGTTTCACACATTTTACAGGGTGTTTAGTTAAATATTAAGTAATATAAATATATATACATACATATAGATAAAATTTCACTTTTTCTGTTCAGCAAGCTTAAGTAAAATAATTATATATGCATTTTATTTTTTCAATATTAAATTAACTAAATTTCAAAAAAGCGAACAAAAAAATATATAATATTTAAACCAAAAAATAACATTTGTTAGCTAAAACTAATAATATTTTTTTACTCAAGGGTTGCCATTAACTAAAAAATTACTTTATTATTAATTTGGAAATAAATCTCAGGTATTTTTTCTTCATATATTAATTAAAAAACAACAAATTTAATAAAATATAGAAATATATATGGTGCTTTTAGAAAAAAACGTTTTTTTTTATTCAAACTAATCGTTTCATGTATAAATATTTGCAGTAAGATTAGCCATTAGTTAAAAAAAAGTTGTGTTTACTTTTATTAATTTAAAAATAAAAATTTCGTCAGTAATATTAATTAACATTTTTTTTAGTTTAGTAAAATAAAAATATATAATATATTTTTTATATAATATATATATTTTTTTAACTAAAAATCTTTTTATTTAATAAAATCAATGGTTTTCTATGTCAATAAATATAGTAAGAGTTGCAGCAGTTTTTATTTTTTTATTAATAAAAAATTAAGCAAATAATTGTTAATTCAAAAATATTACAAATTTATTTTTTTAATTTGTAAAATGGTTTTTTTTTACTTAACACAATGGTTTTATAAGCAAATAGTTGTAGTAATAATTGACATAGGAAAAGAAATTGTCATACGATATTTATTTTTAATAAAAAATTCAAAAAGTTCTTTCTTCACAATTGTTAATCCAAACATATTAAATAGTAAAAAGAATATTAAAAAAGTTCTCTTTGAACCTAAACATTTTGAAATTTATAAATAACTTAAAAACAAAATATGTAAATAAAAAATTATGCACCGAAGCCTCACACCACCTTAGCTCTTCTATAATCGAATGCTTCCATATCACTTTCCTTATCAAAAATTCATTTTATTAGCATACATACATATAATACATACGTATCTATTAAGAACTAACTAACTAACTGCTTATAACAGCCATACATATATACTTACATACATACAATTACAAATAATCATGTGAAGGTAAACATAACATAACACAATAATTGCAAGGTGTTTACTATTTACGTAGCGTCAAGCTAAAACTTTTTAGTTATATTTGCTTAGACTTTTTCTGGTACAGCGCGTAGATATGTATTTATGTGATATGCATTTATGAAATCTACGGAAATTGACAAATATAAAAAAATAGTTAAATTCTTGTTAATTATTTAAAGGGTTGTCAAATTACACGAATCGTTAGGCAACTGAAAAAAAATAATAATTTATTAATTTTACACTTGTTTATTTAACCAAATGCTTAGGCTAAAGACATAGTGGTCCGAAGACCAACGTTCGTTTTGATCAAATTGAATTAAGCGTTGCCATGCTTCTATTGACTCAAAAGGAGTCCATTTTGCAGGCGATAATAAAGACTTTTATTAAAATATGTGAAAAGTAATTTTTTGTTGTCAGTCCGGGTCGAATTTGATCATGTAAGGATTTTTTTCCTATTTGTGTTGTAACTCGTGACGTATGAACCTTGAAATTTGTAAGGCAGCGAAAATCTCCGAAATATGTTTCTTGAGTAGCTTTTTTAACCGAATACATTCGATGATTATACCTATGGAGAGACAGCAGTTCTGGGTAAATCTTTCCCCTATATTTATCAATTTAACATGGACAGAAAATATAACCCATGACGTATGGCTACAAAAGACAACCGATCAACTTTTCTACCTGTAAACTTTATAAGCAAAAGTTAAATTTATCTCTTTTAGGTTAGGAAATTATATTTCTCATTTTTATTATACATTTTTCCTTTTTTATTAAATCTACCTAATATTCGTTATTTTCAAACTACAGGTAACAGCTTGGATCACCAGTGATGGCAATGACACGCTACAACGGTTCGCCAGTCTTCAGCTAGACTCTGAATCCGCCATAAAAGAGCAGGAGCAAGAGTTCGAAAAATATTATTTCATTTCGATGGTAAGTATAAAAATACTTAGCACTTTATTACAACAACATGAGAAGTGTAGAAACCTTCAATTCGATCAAAGAAGATAAGGGGCCGTCCATATATTACGTCATTCTAAATTAGGGGGGGATTGGTCTGCGGATGACGGTAAAGTCAAAGTCGGTAAAGACGGTGTCTTTAAGAAATGATCTGAAAAAATCGATGACGTAATTTATGGACGGCCCCTAAGTGGATACATTAATATTACATCGGAAAACTGATAATTGCAAGGTGTAAACGTAAATTAAACTTTATTTTCGTAAATTTTTATGTGACATCAGATTAGTCATTCTATGTGAGAGTATGAGGTATAATTCTTAGACTGTTAATTCTAAATCCGTATGCTGTCTTAGAGGCGATCGCCTTGCACACCTGATACTAAACTCAAGCTTATCACCAAAATTTATAGCTCTAGAGGTCTCGAAAAACTTGAAAGGGAAACATTTTTTTCTGTTACAACTTTGAGATTTGTATTTAAATTTGAGCTTATCATGGGAAAAGCGTGCTCACGTTTTTAAAAATGGAAAACCGATGAAAGGTCAACTCGTGAAATATTCATATTTAGAGTTAAACCGTTTTTACAAATGAGAAAATGCAATTAATTATTGTATTCTTTTTAGTATATAATAAATAACTTATATTCACCTATCTAGAAACACTTGGCCAAGGGCCGTGATCTGCACGATGCCGCAGTCAACATTGAACCACTGCGCGAGAGCGCCGTTAACCTGAAGTCCGCACTCGATTGCTTCGCTGAAAAGCTTGAGTTGGCGCGAGAACGCATAGAAGCAGCGACCAGACTACAACAGCTACTGCTGGCACACCAGCTCGAGGCTCACTTGCTACAGGAGATGCAACGGCTGGCCGAAATTTCAGGCGCCACTCAATTGCTTGAGAAATTCCGTCAGGAACAGCGAGAAAACAGCAACAACGAGCCGACGACAGAGCAAACGGAAATAGCAGAAACAACCAACAACAATAAAAACAATAAACCAAATAGTCTTAACCTCACACTCAACTATCGCAGCAATAGCACAACCAGCAGTTTAACCAAACAACAACAATTGCAGCAACAACTGCAGCATGTCGCCGTTATAACAAGTACACCGCTGCCGCGCATGAATCGCCTTAGTCATCGCTCCAGTTCGGGTATCGGTTCATTTGACGGTCAAACCTGTCAGTGTTGGCGGGAAAGCCGCAATATGGAGGATATGGATGAAATGCTGGACGCTGATGGTGAGGAACTCGAAATGGAGGATGGCGAGGAAGAGCAATCGAAGGTTGCCGATTCCGGTGTGGGCGGCTGTGAGCGCTGCGAAGGAAATCCGAAGTTGACACGCGTCTGCTCGTGCCAGAGTCTCAACGAAGCGGCCAATTTGTACAGCAAGAGGTAAGTTGCGGGCGTCAATATGCGTTGTGGCATGACTTTATGTTCAAATTTAAACATTTCGTGTCTCAACAGCGATGAGCTTGATTTCGAGTGCTATGAGCGCCCTATTAAACATTATAATGACATACACTCTCCCATGGAGGCGAATGCGCATCTGCAGTACCACGCCTCAAGTTTGGAATTGTCGAAGTTGGATGAAATCAGTTGCTTGGATCCGAAAATACAAAAGTAAGTTGCCGTACGTTTGGTGCACCATATAAACACTGACCTTGTGCGTCTTCATTATTTCGATTTAAATTGTATTTTGTAGAACGCTTCTATTGATCATGCGTGAAATGATTGGCACGGAACGCGACTATGTACACTCGTTGAATTATGTCATTGAAAATTATGTTGACGAGTTGTTGCGCGAAGACATACCGCAGCCGTTACGCGGCCAACGTAATGTCATTTTCGGCAACATTGAGAAGATCTTCGAATTCCACAAATGGCATTTTCTCAATGAACTGGAACGTTATGAACGCAATCCATTGAAGGTTGGCAGCGCCTTCTTAGAAATGGAATCGAAATTCTATTTGTATGCGCTTTACAATAAGAACAAACCGAAAAGTGATACGCTAATGAGTGAATACGGCACGGCATTCTTCAAGGTAAGTGATCGTGTGTGGTTTTCATAAACAAAAATTGGAAATTTATTTCATTAAAGCGCCTTGTGAATATTTTTAAAAGATTCTCATGAAATTTCCTAGTAAAATGTTAAATACTTATCAAAGCTTTTCCAGCTCATAAAGTTTGCAATGATTGGTAATCAAATTTATATGTATTTCTCTCTTTTACAGTCCAAACAGTTCGAATTGAATGATAAGATGGACTTGGCCTCATATTTGCTGAAGCCCGTACAGCGTATGGGAAAATATGCCCTACTATTGCAACAATTGGTGAAAGCTTGCAATTCCGTTGAGGTAAGTGAAATTTCGTGCTTTATTGAGCTTTGATTGGGTTTTCAAAGAAAAAGTAAAATGTAAAGCTTAGGTTGAGCTTTTATATGTAAAGTGAAAGTTAGAGCTTTAATTGCACTTTTAACTATGTTTAAGCTTAAATTTTTCGGAATTGATCGCAAGAGTGACTTAATCGAAGTTGCAATTTTTCCGCATAAAAATACATGTTTATTTAAAACAATGAACCAAAGGAACGTTTTCTAATAATTCTCAAAATGTTAAAAAAAGTCCTTAAGACCGAACTCATGCCTTACAGATTTGTAGTATAGAACTACCAACACTTCAGCATTGCGACCATAACATTTCTTCTTAGTCAATATATATTCAAATGTCGAGGCAAACCGCAGCCCAGCATAAGTAAAGAACCCACTAAATAGTACTTTATCTCTAATCGTTACACCACTTTACCCTTTTTAATGCCACTTGTTCTTTTCACCTTACAGGGTGCTGCACTGCAAGAGATCGCCGCGGATGTAGAAGAATTGCACCGCGCTGAAGAAATGGTTAAATTTCAATTACGTCATGGTAATGATCTACTAGCTATGGATTCGCTGCGAGACTGTGATGTCAATGTCAAAGAGCAAGGACGTCTGTTGCGACAAAATGAATTTCTGGTTTGGCAAGGACGTGGCGGTAGAAAGTCACTGCGCCAGGTCTTTCTCTTCGAAGATCTCGTGCTGTTTAGTAAAGCACGCCGGTTTCCAGATCAAAAGGTTAGCGGTTGAAGGAAATTACCCCAAGAATTATTTGAAAACTAGTGTATTTTTCCTTTGGCAGAACTTGGACATTTATATCTATAAGAACAGCATTAAGACGTCGGATATCGGATTAACTGCGCATGTGGGAGATTCGAAAACGAAATTTGAGATCTGGTTCCGTAAGCGTAAGCCGGATGACACATGGACGTTGCAATGCATGTCGGAGGACATAAAAAATGCTTGGACCGAGGAAATATCAAAGTTGTTATGGAAACAAGCGAATCGAAATCGAGGTAATTTTATGGAGAGGGGTTTAATAATATAGATGGTAACGTAGTTGAGAAGCAACGCTGTAGGAAAATGAACTATTTGTAAATTACCTTTGAGCTGATATCAGATTCATGTACAACTTAATTTAATTATGGACCAGATACACTAGTCTGTGCTTAAGAAGTGCGTTTTGATAAAGTTTAGACTTCGTCAGAGTAGTTCACTTTCTGGTTGCTAACTAGTATTATCTCACTAAATCCATTTCATTTGGAAATTTATAGTTTCTTACAGCATTTCAGGGCTTTGCGTGACACCCTTTGTACTAACATTGCAAACGGTTATAATCTATATTTGGAAATAACATTTTCATATATTTCTTAGAAATTCGCCTAGCCGAAATGTCTTCGATGGGAATCGGCAGCAAGCCGTGTCTCGACATACGCCCCAGCAATAATCAAATCAACGATCGCTCCATAACGATATCACAGCTCGGCAAAGGTAAGAACAAATCGCTTAAGAATTGATATGAACAATAACCCCACCTTCCTCTCATTAAAGCGCCCAAACTGCGTCACTCCTTCGCCGGCATGCAGTTGGATGTCACGAAGAGCGCACGTCGGCCCAATTCCCTCATCTCCGAGAGTTCATTGTCGAGCGGCACCAGCAGTTCCTCACTCAGCACGGGCAGTTCTTCTGGTCATGAACGCGTGAGTGGCAACGCCTGCAACAGCAAAACAACGCCGGGCGCTGTAAGCAGCCATCATGCGCTGGAGCTAATCAACGAGACACAAACTTTAATGCTGAGCGGCGTTGGCGGCGCAACAGCGGCGAATGCGTCCATCAGCGGCACGAATACAAATACGTTGAGCAGTAGCGGCAGCAGCGGCAGCAGCGGTCGCAGCGGTCGTAGCGGCAGCGGCAAGAATGGTGCCGGAAATGGTGGCTCGGCGCGCGCCAAACGCTCAACAACGCTTGTCAGTCAACTCTCCATGGGTATTGAGCTTGAATTGAGTTACTTTTTCTGAATGTTTTTCATTTGTTGTAGTTGTTAGCTATTATTTTTTGTTTTTTATTAAGTTTAAATAGTTATATTTGACTAACCCGTTTTTTTATTAAAAAAAATCTATTTGTATAGTTGTAAGTTATTATTTTTGTAAAATTGTTTCGAAAAATGCCTGTCACAGGTGCCAGACTAAGCTTGGCTTAGACAAACACACACTCAAGTGCATGTGATTTTAAACTTTATTTATCAGTATTATTTATTAGTTATTTTAAAAATCATTTGCTGTTTCGAAATTCCGAAATGTAAATAATTTTCAACTACTATCACTCTTTATGTATGTATTTGTATTACCGTGTTGCATCCTCTTGTCCACACTTGACTTCCACACTCTATTTCCATTAACGGTTTATAATTTTTACAAAAAAAAAATCAATCATATCTCCATCATGCAGAAAGCGGCATACTGTCCGACATCTCAATGACGCCCGATCACGAGTCAGCGGATGCCACAACCTGCTGGTTAAATGCCACAACAAAAACCGCAACAAAATCATCACCAAACGCCAGCAGCACAACGGGCACAATTGGCGACAGCACGGTGATTTTCCGTCGACATCGCTTCCATCTACTGAAACACCACCACCACCACAAAGAACTCAACCAACAACAACAACAATCAACACAAACGGCCTTAACGGAACGCATAAGCACGACCGATCAATGCAATCCGTAGTTGCAGGAGTAGTGCGAGCATTGCGTAAACGTTCTGCGACATTAAAAACAAGTTTAAAACAGCACATAGTACCGAAAAATTACAAAAAAAATTAAAATAAAAAATAATAAAAAAGCGAAAAGAAAAAAACTTAGCAGTAATTTTTAAATAATTTTATAATGGAATTAGTGAAATACGATAATTAAATGCTAAGTGTTTTTTATGTGTACACACAACAAAACTAAATTTCAGAATACATACATACAAACACACACAAATTCAATGGCGCTTACATACATACATACATAGCATATTAATATTTTATTATTGTTTTTTGTTGTATAATTTTTCGTTTTAATTGGTTTATAGTTCTAGTTCTAAGCCAACCATAGCCAACTAAGTAAGCGCCCCAATTATTGTTTGAAAAAGGAGCAAGAATATATGTACTTCAACATTTTTATTACAAATACCATAAATGAATATTGAAAAAGGCAAAACAGTAACAAAACAAAATAAAATATTGTTAATTAATATGTATGTAGTTGTAAATCTTTGAACCAGTGCTATATGCCTTTCGCTTTAAATACTTAAAATATTATATATATGCAAAACCCAAACAGTTTTAATAAGCTTCAAAATATGTATAATTAATTTTTCCCCACACACACACACACACACAGGTGTTATATGAAGTCCTAAGTGTCAATTTTTTATTTGCAAAAACAAGAATTACCGTAAATAATAAAATTTGAGTACACTATATTTTGAATTGTCTGATAAAAATTTCCACATGCTTTAATATTTTTGCAAATATCTTTGTACAATGTAGACACAAATGAAATAATCTATAATTTTTCGAAACATTCAACACGTTAATGTTTGCTAGCATAGTCACATATTCGTATCACAAAGTAAATTCTATGTTTTACATTTATTAGTGCATATGTATGTATATACGATATCATTATCATAATGTGTGTACTGTTATTTTTTATCAAATTGGAAATTATGTAATCGTGGTAATAAATATTTGAATTGCTGTATCTACTACTACACATATTGCAATGTGTATATACATATGTATTTACGAGTATAAGTTGCATGTTCAGCAAAAATAAAGAAAATGTAATAAAAATATAAAATGGAAAAAATGCATTATTTTTTTAAATTAAAAAACAAAACAAAAATAATTAAAAAATTTTGAATTCAATCAATTAATCAGTTGGACCAAGATGGACTTAAAGATACTATAGAATAAGGATTGGCGGTTTTGAAATATGTAAAATTGTTATTTAAGGAATTATATCCAATTACAAATCAGAAAAACGCGTTTTTTGCAATTTTTTTTTTTTTTTGAAGAAGCATATTAGTTAATAATTAAACCAAAATAATATGCATTTAGAGTATTTTATGTACTTTTATAATCGGCGATTATGGATTCTATTGATACCTTAGCCAATCTTCAGGAGGACCTCCGAAAAAAGCTGGCTTGCTACGAGAAAGAGGTTTTGGGTTAAAATTATCTCAAATCCAAAAACCAAAAAAAAAATGTATAACTAGTCAACATTTTCAAAAAATTGAGATTATTATCAAAAAATCTTATTATTTCGATCATTACCTGACAAATATGTCTAAAAAGGTCGTGTGAAAATTTCAAGTCGATCGGTGTTAGCTGTTTCTGAACACGCTCATATCCTCCGCAACTATTTGCCAGATCAACTTCTAATTTTGGGCATTTCTTACGTACATATGTATATAAATGCAAATCCGAAAATAGATTATTTAAAATTAACAATTTTTAATTTCACATAAATTTAGCTTTGCAAAAAACTCGCAGTTTACTATCAGCATTACGTCCCTTCGCCGCAAGCGGCAAAGGCCCACATGATTATTCGGGAATAAAATTTTACATCATGAAAACTGCATATTAATGAATCAATACATGCGCGCCGGATTTGAACATAAGTATTTCAATTCTAAATGACAGCACGCTAGCTTTGCGCCAATGAAACGCATTAAAAAGTTACTTCCAATGTTCTACTAGTTCTAAAGTAGCATTAAAATTGTATAGACACACACCAATTGTCGCAGCTAATACACAAACCATTGAAATAAATATTTTAAAATATATTAATTGCTTACCATAACACAGATCAATATTACTTGCCCGCTGGATTTTTAATTATGCCTGCGAAGTAATAATTTTAATAATATGGGTTAAAAAAGTGTTTCGTTTATTTTAACAAAAAATTAAAATTTAAGTAATATGTATATAAATAAATGCTATGGACGATTCGCGCTTATCCGCCATGTAGCGTCGAAATAAACAGGATGTTGTCATTCGGTTGTATTTCATACTCTAATTCACCCTGGAATAATAAAATAGAAACAATAATAATATAATCCATAATTTATTTGAATTTGGAAACACTTACAAGCAACTCCCAATCCGTGTCGTTCACAAGCACCAAAATACCGGGGCGCCTGCATAAAAACAAAACAAAAGCGACTAATTAGCAATGTTTAACAAAATCTTAGTTCGAATGTGCAGATGCTTGACTGAGCTTAAGCCTCAAGCAAATTGCTAAGTAGCTACCAAAAAAAGATATTGTAAAACTTACACCGACTCATCTTGTATGAACAATTCTGGTCGCTCTGTCAAAATATTGGCGTGCATCCATTTGAGCAGCTTGCGTATGGTCCCTGTAATGTTAATTTCAAATAAATCACAGCTAAAAAATATATAATTGAAATTCACCTACATTTTTCGTCACCTTTCAACGTTACCTGCCGTCGCTTAATGTTTCCAAATAGCAATTCAGCACCAGCACTAAAATTGTTAGCTGTTAAACTACGGTACAACAAATATTCGTAAATAAATTATACTCACCTAAATTCTAAAAATATATTAAGGTCGCTATGGGACATTACAACGTTTAACTTAATTAATAATGTTATACTTCCTTCCCTGAGAAATAATCAAGACATGCTTTCTTCAATTGCAACGAGGTAAACAAATAAACAGCTGTTTCTAACAGTTTTGGAGCTATGGCTATTATAGTTTTAATGGCGATGTAAAACCTTAAAATAAATAACCACATATCCAATAAAAATAAATGAATGGCAATATATCGAATTCAAATTTTCTACTTACATGAACTATAATTTGTACATTACGGCCAAAAGTGATCCCCCTACTAGACAAACCATAACGATATGAATACAGAGAATGTAGATTATTATATATTTTACATTCTCTGATGAAAGTATCATGTCAATGCTTAGAATATAGGGGTAAAAAGTTATCAGCACTATATACTAGAGAGCAAACACAATCAAAAATAGTCTGTCATTTAATTTATTGCACAACAAATTCACTGAACTTTCTTATTCGTTTTGTCAGGTTTAGTTGAACTTTCTGTAAAATCTAATTTAAAGTTCACTGGTTTGTCATATCCCATAATACGTGCATAGTGATCAGGGTCATCGAACAAGGCAGGATCAACGAACAGAGGTTTATTACGCACTAGAAATGATGTAAACATGCCAGGAACTTCAGGAACCTTAACGTCATCTGGCTTGAATTTAGTCTGCAAATATAAAATCATTATTACAATATTGCGTTCTTCAGAGACAAATTCTTCTCAAACCTTAATCTTAAATAGTAAAAGTGATATTGTTGTTGCCGTATATTCCTCCGATTTTGGGTTATAATGAATTTCGGTAACATACTTTTTCGTGATAAAATGCAATAGAAGTGGTGTCACGAATGTGAAGAAACCAGCAAAACCACACAGAAATACCGCCATCGGTTTGCCTCCCATATTCAAGCCTTGCTCTAATAGTATCGGTTGTGCGGCCAAACCTGCTAAGCTGGTGGTAAGAGAAAATATTTTTACAGCTTTCATCCTCGGCGCCAAAGCGCCATAATAAACGCGTATATCTTCCACTTCATTGGGATTGGTTGCAGAGCTTGTCCTGGAAGTATACAATCGATATTGTTGCGCATCAACTGTGTGTTGGGGAGTTTTCGAACAGCAAATTGGGCCCAAAAGACGTCCAATAAAATTAACTTTTGAAGTTGTGACACTTTTTACACTATGTTGACCAATTGTCACTAGTGAACGACTACTTCGCAGCAGCGTACGCAATGTCAACATTTTTTAATGAATATAATTATTTACAATTTTATTTCAGAATGAGTTAAAAATTATATTTTAAATAAGATTTATAACAACTAAGCTGGTGACCACCACAAGGGCTATTGAATAACCGCTTGTCAAAAACAGCTGTTTATTAGCAGGGTGTCAGTTAAACAGAATTTTAGCTATTACCCATTCTTGGAAAAGATAATTATAACAACCATTTTACAGTTACGGCAGAGAATAAAATATAATATAATCTACATTCTCTGGTTACGGGTTATAGATTCCGTTTATAAATTTGATTAAAAAATCTGCTTCATTTATATTATATATTATTTTTCAATAAAAATTCCTTGACCGAAATTTCGAGTATTTACACAAAAATTACAGAAATCCATTCGATTAACAGGGCAGGGTCACTCATATTGCATTAATTACAGAAAATATTCAATGCTTGCTGTTGAAAGACTACTTTTACTTAAAAAATTTCATGATTTCTGCTGATTATATAAAAAAGTTGTCTTAAATTCAAACAGAAAATTGTAGAAGTCGCTTAGCCCAGACCCACACCTATTAACTTTTAGTTCCACAAATGAAAGCGTAGTGAAGAATAAAAGATAACTCGGCAACACTGAGCGGGGTATTTCAATAGAGCTCCCACCAATTTGCAGTCAGTCACAGACCCGGCTGCCGAAGCAGTAGAAAAATTGGGGAAAGTGTTGGAACGCGTTGAAGAAAAGTTCAATAGTAAACTTCATAAAAAGTAAATATTAATAGTTCTTCGAATTAAAATTACTGTGTTCAAATAAAATTAAATGTTTTTAAGGAGTATTGAGTGAAAAGAAATTCATCTCTCATATCAAATGTGCGTGTATGTGAATTTCAAAGGATGTAAAGTAAAAATCTAATTGGAGAAATTTTTTTCCTGTTGGATTTTTCACTCGCTTCCACATGTGAATTTTATCGATTACGTCGGCTGACACGCATTAAAAAAGCGCCGACATGTGCAAAAATGAGTAATAAAGCTTAATATGAATTAAAATGTAAAAAATAAGTCCACTTATGATAATAGGCCAAGAAAAAACCAGTCATTAAAAGCTACTGATATATTATTTTTACCGTATGCATTTATTTCCTGTACTTCGCTTACTCGCTCTATCATTGCGTTCTTAATATGAAATAAGATAGTTCTATACGATTGCTAGTGTTACCAGTTAACTTGCGTGCAAATTGATATGTATGAAATATATTTACTTTTAATTGAATTGATCGTGCAAACATTTCTTTCGAAACACTCACCTTTGTTGTCGCAAAATTGAAACATACGTACAACAATGTGGGCTTAGAAAGATATGAATGTATGGATAGCAATCGAAAGCTACAACAACAAAATTATGTTAAAAATAAACCGGATATTTCACTAAAGCAAAGCTTTAATAAAAATTAAGCATATTAGCGGTGAGGGACAATATCAAACACAAACGATACAAATGACATATGTATGCATATCCACATAAATACCAACAATAAAACGAAATCACAATCTGACGAACCGCGCTAAATTTGCAGTTAGCACTAGTTAAATAAATAGACACGCAGTCAAATGCACAAATACTTAAAAAGAGAATTTGTAGGAATAAATTAAATATTTTAGTAAACAGAAAATGCCTATAATAAAATTTTGAAAGCGTTAACCAAAATGCAAATAAAATGACTAAAGCAATTTTGCATAAACTTCAGTTAACTTCCTATATCCATACAGATGTGTGTATTTGTTAGTTAGTCGACTAATATTTTGTTTTTTTCATTTTGGCGGTTTGTAAGTTTTTTTATACACATATTTTTGAAGAAACTTTCTTCAGTGCACGTACTGTGTTTTAAATGTATTAAAACTACCAACAAAATTTAATCGCTATGGGTTTTAACAGATTTCGTATTTTACTTCCAATTTCGGTTAGGATAGAAAAATATATATTTCACTCCGGGCTGACTCTTTTGACGTTCTAGTAAAAATGTTCTCACTTTAATCTTGTTCTCAAAATTTTTTTTTATTTAAGTGAATTTGGTTATAAATAAAGTGATTGTAAAAGATAATTCTGGTTTAGTATTTTATCGCTTTTATAAAGTTAAAATTGAATAATTACGGTATTTATGACTAAAAAAACCTAAAAAGTAATAATAATAAATGTTTATCTGATTATAAAGTGGCATATATACGTACGGAACTACCTGTCAGTCAACAATATTTCGTTGTACTATTTAAAAAAGCAAAAGTTCTACAATTTTATCGTGTTTTGTCACTCATTTATGTGCTAAGGTGTTTCGTCTTTCTTCATCTATTTAGCGTTTCTCTATCAGATTTTCTCGTTACTTTTATTCCAGACTGGACATGTTTCCAGGGTGTTTTAATACTGCTATAACTTTTTGATTGATCTCAAATTACTTAGAGATCTCAGTATCATCGTTAAAAGTTTGTAATACTTTGGTTTTAAGCCTCAAAACAAAAAAAAAAAAACAAAAAGCATACCCTGAAAAAAAAATTATTTACGTTCTTACTTCTGCCTAAAGTATTACATCTATGATGTGTTGCACTGGAAATCCCCATAATGAATTTATTAGCATTATAATTCAGATCACTTTGCATTTGTTACCTATAATCACATATGCTAATCACACTGTGCTGTTATGTATGATTTAGCGCCGTATACTCTCTTAGTTTAATGACTGCGGTGGCGTGTTGTCTTCTTATATATTTGTATGAATGTAAATAGATTTTCGGCGAAATATTATGAATTTACGTATTTTTTAGTAGATGACTTTTATGGATTTACACATACTGCATATATGTACCTCTGTACATATGTAGTGAAACCATATATACCTTTGTTTGTCACTTTTTGGGTGAACATACATTGGTAAAAGTAAGACTATATTAAGCAATCTAACTCTATTTTCAGAGTAGTTCGCAAAAGCATACCTAAATCCAATAACAATATATACTTGCGTAAAGGTGTTTTACATACATATGTAGATATGTACATATGCACATATAGTATAATATATAAAACATATTTTGCTTTCTTCATAATTCGGTTCGCATAAAACCAAATAAATGTACCTACAAATAAATATACATGAATAGATAAGTTTATGTGATCATAGTATATGTATGTATAAACACAAAAAAGAATGCACAAGTAAAAAAGCGCGTTTCGCTTTTCTTTTATCATGTCTTCGCTGATCTCATAACGTTGATCGCATAACTAATGTGAATACTATGTAAACGTAAAGTAGTGGTTGATCAAAAATCTAGTAACTGATTTAGTTGTTGTTCTTTGATTTTTTTTGTGTGTTTTATTGAACGTATTTTCTTCTTTGCCTCATTATTTATTTAGTGATTTTATTTAATTTTGTTTTCAGTAGTGTTTTTATAGTTCTGCCGCTGTCTTTTTCATTGCGAATTCTTCTGCGAAATAGTAGCAAAAACAATCACAAAATCAACGAGACTTCGCCAAGTTTGTATAATCAGTATTCGGCTAGGTAAAATTTTCTATTATGTATTCTCAATTCATCTGCAGAGTGCTGCACGAGACTTATGTATGTATGTAGCGACTGACGCAAAAAGTGAGCAATATAAATTTGCATACAACCATTTGTACATTTGTATAAATCGTGAGTAAAAAACAGTGATGTGCTAAAACAAAAAAAAACATTAAGAACTTTGCTAGCTTAAGCTTTTTACTTACGGGGATACTAAATCTTGATATAGTGGCTTAAAGAGAACTCGGTCAATTCGTGCTGTAGAATGCTTTAAAGCCAAAAAATATACTATGGCCATCGAACTGTTTATAAAAGTATTTTTTTTTGTTGAAATACCATATTTTTCACCTTATAAATGTTATAGCCGCAAGAAATATTCCAATTATTTTTTAATTTGGCTCAGAGGATTTAAAAAGTTGTCGCAAGTATAATCTCAGAAATTTAAACAAATTTTTTTCATGCACAACAATCCAAAAATTTGCACAATACTGTATGTAGCCATATGTCCACAGCAAAAAAGTACAAAAATTGTGTTAAAGAGAGGCGATGTTGGGAGTGAATTGATATTGTGGGTTGTATATATGCGACAAGGGTGGAACAGGTGTCGTGCACAGCAACATTAAGAGCGGAACACCAAACAAAGTGGGCGTGAGTTTGGGTGTGTGCAATTCGTTGTAACGGTGAATGATTTCATTCAGAAAAATTTGCAACAATTGGAAATGGAACAGAAGAGCATAATTGTAGATAATAAATAATAATAATGCCATGAATGGTGTTTATGCAGCCTTTGCGTGTGGGCGATAACGATACAGTTCGTCTATAAAAATCCACACAGTCATCTGATGAAACTAAAGTTGAGTAAATGAACAGTTGACCATTAAAAAATGTACAAGTGCCGTTACACCAATAAAAACGGCTTTGCTGCTTTCTATCATAAAATAAAAAATGATTGAAAATTGATAACTGAATTGCTAAAAAGTTTATCCAATGTGGGTGCAATATCCTTTACAAATTAGAACACACTTTTGCTCAAATATATGTGTGTATGTGGATGTGCGTTGCTTTCAAGGTCGTACAGCAGTAGTCGAAGCATCTATCGATTGAAATCATTGTTGTTCTTCGGCAAAGGCGGTGGCATTGTTTGTGGATTCGCTGCCAAGTAGTGTGGAGTATGTACACCATAAGGGAGGATACCCAAAGCCCGCTGACATTGAATGAGCGTACATACACACACATACATACTTATGTACACACATAACCAAAGCTTTATATATAAATATTTTTTTTTGCAAGTGTGAAGTACAAACTTAGGTATATGTATATACATATATTTATGCGACTAGATCGCGTGGGCGTGTACACTTCAATAAATAGCATATTTGCAAGTGTACCCTGTTTGTTCCGCAGGAGCTGTGTAAAGACTGTAAGTTGGCGAAATAGTAACATACATACTTATGTATATCGTCGGTCGTCTAATACAGGGTGGCGCACGAATCGTACTACATAAACAAACCGTAATAACTCTTTTAAATAAATGCATTACATTTTTTTTATAGTATGGCAAATTTTATTTTATTTTGTATAATTAATTACTTTTAAAAATTTTGAACTGTAAATGACCCTGTTGCTCGGCCTGAAGGGTTGAAATCGGGATTGCCTCAATTATCGATTTAATGGACTGCTTGAATTCAGTCAGATTTCTTGGTTCTGTTTTGTACACCTCTTGCTTGACATAACCCCATAAAAAAAAGTCTGGTGCAGTCAGATCAGGTGACCTTGATGGCCAGTGGAAGGTGGAGTTTCTTGATATTAATTTGTTTTCAATAACCGGTCTGGCTATGTGTGCAGTTGCTACAACTTGCTGGAACCAAACGCTATATATACCACACAGTGACTCGTTCTGGGTGAAGTTCCGTCTTGTATATTACTTCTAGACATCATTCCCCCCATATACAGCAATTTTGTTTGTTTACATTTCCGTTTAGATCAATATGGATCTCATCAAACATAAACAGGCAATTTATCAAATTATAGATCATCATGAATTAATACGTTTTAATGACCGTCTGCCAACTCTAAGTTACGCCTATTTAAGTTGCGAAACTTAAATAATAACCTTCCAAATAAAAAAAAGTAAGTCGATTACTCACCCAGAAAAAACTTATTACGGTTTGTTTTTGTAGCACGATTCGTGCGTCACCCTGTATGAATACGTTGTTGAATAATATATGTGCACTACTTTAAGCAGAGAACTTAAAACAAGTTCTCTGCTTTAAGCATTTTCAAGTAGTTGGTCCATTCATTAGATATGGTTTATTAAAGATTATGGTGGTTTATCGTAGCTATAGTGTGATATGTACATATGTTACATATGTTGTGTGTGAATTACGTATGTAAAATTGTTTGAAAATGTCCATACCAGAGTGCTCTTGGAAAATGCTGTTATTTAATAGAGCAGCCTTTTATTACTATTTGTACCATATAAGCTTCCATTCGAAAACCTTAAAATTTAAATATTCCTAATGATGAGGAAGATTTTTATGCTTAAAATTACCTCAAATCCAAAGACTAAACGAAGATGATAGAAGAACTACTCAAAATTTAGATTTTACCAAATTACGACTTGGTTTTTTGTTAAAAAATTTACACTGAATAGGAGCTTAAAAAATTGAAATTATTATTTAAAATCTTATTCCTTCGATCATTAACTAACAAAATATCTAACAAGGTCGTGTACAAATTTTATTTTTTTCCTAGCTTTTCCATAATTCCGTGTTGTTTGGTGAAAAAATGGAGTGTTATCGATGATTTAAAAAACTTGTTAAGTAATATAAAAAAAAAGGTTATTAGAAGGTTGTTATTGTATTTTAATTCCGCTAAGTATATAAAATAACTTTGTATATTTCTTTTAACATTGCAAGTTACATTATTTTTAGATCGGTTACTTATTCACTACAACAATGAAGCTATTTAAATCTTTTCATTTTTTGTTTACAGAAATTAAACGCAGCCGCCGTTAAACGACAATAAAATTTCGCTAGTATTGCCATACATTGGAAGACATTTATTTTAAATAGAAAATTGCTGAAAGCACGCATAGCTGCAAATATTGTAAATATATATAAAAGGCAGTAAAGCGAAACAGAATAAAGCCTACATTAGGTAAAACAACAAGAAACCAATACTTAGAACGTTCCAAAGAGTTACCCAGTCAATAATAAAATAAATTAAATAAAAATACAAACAAATAATTATTAAAAATGATCAATATGGACATAAGCGTAACACCGAATTATTCGTACATTTTCGATTTCGAAAATGATTTTATCCACCAACGCACACGAAAATGGATGGTCGAGAATTGGACTTGGGTATTCTACTATTGTGGCATTTATATGTTGGTGATATTTGGCGGACAGCATTTTATGCAAAATCGTCCCAGGTAAGTCACAAGTAGATACTAGGCGTACATCTGTTTTCTATTGTTTTGAACAGTCGTTTGGCGGAATATTAATATATTAACATTTTATAGAAAAAATATATACTATACTATAATGTTTCTCATACAGTCAAGATCAAATTTGACCTGGACAAACTTTTCGCGTCATAAACAAACAGCTTCCAAACACACACTAATTGACTAGAGATCAAACTTCAAACGAACATAAAAAGGTTCTATCAATCTAGAAAAACAACTTTTACCGATTCGGTTTGCGCGGATTTATATGAAGCTATCCGGGTCAAATTTGATCTTGATTATTTATCTGAAACAATTAAAATTGAACATTTTAAGTGAAAATTTTGCAAAAAAACACGAGAAATGCTTTTATCGTGTATTTCATTATGACATCTAGTTTTTTACTACTCTTCACACTTTTAATCGCGTGCAAAACCTGTGCGAGTAACTCTGTGTCCATAATTTGAAGTTGTTAACTCGGGAGCTTATCGCCAGCTATAAATTTCTGATTTATTGTCATATAATGGTTACTTGTCATATATTTAAGCAGCCTAATTGTCATATAATGATTACTTGACGTTTATTTAAGTAGCCTAATCTACAGTTCAGACATTTATGACTAAAACTATTTTAAAATGAAAATAACATAGTGGATTTGTCAGAGTTTTAATACTTTTCAATGGGTTTCGAAGACAGGTCGCGTAAATTTATAGATCAGCAAAAAGATTTTCTTGTATGTACTTGTATCGAAAACTTTTTTATTTGATCCGATGTTTTCTCGACATTTGCCAGAGCGAACCAGTATAGCATATAGTTGTCATACAAACTGACCGAATGCTTCGGAGTAACCGAAGTTAACGATTTTTTCTTGTTTTGGAATTCAGTTATAAAAAAACCAAGAGGGTTGGCGAATATTTTGTAAAGCAGCAGCGGGGACTGACTTTGCCTTTTTCCTACCTTTTGTTTTAGAAATGCAACGTTTTATAATCTTTGTATCTACAATAAACATTTTTTTTATAAGATAAAAATACTCAGAATCCCACATTCTTTTTGAATACATAACTTCTAGGTTCTCTTAATCGGGTTGACAAATATATGAAAATTAAATTCCAACCGCATTATATTGTAGCTAGGCTACAACTTGCGACCCAAAAAGTCACAATTGCTGCTTAAAATTTAAATATCGAACTGAAACTTGCACATTTTCGTAATCGTTTCTTTAACACCCTCTTAAAAATGTATATTAATTATGTATTGTAATTACCATTTAGCAACGGCACATGATTACAAATAATTATTATTATTAATTAGTAAATAATTAATATCAACTAGAGAGCTCTTAAAACACCTATGTGTTTGAATTGAAATAATAAAAGGCCACCCGGAAGGCTTTTGCCCACACATTGTGCTTGAAGTTAGCGAACAAAAGTTTCCACCACATAAAGAGTAATATAATATTTCAAGGAATTTAAAAGTAACAAAGTTTAGTTATGACTCGAAGTGAAGTTCCAATCTCTGGTATCTCCGTTTTTCACTTTCACGACGTCACCTGGCGATATGTCGGACAAATGCCGCCAACGAAGAAATTACACCGTTACTTGTATTATGTGTATTCACTAGTTTTAAATTTGCTCATAACCGTTGGCTATCCAACACATCTGATGATTGGCCTAATCAAAAGTGACAGCAAATCGGATATGTTCAAGAATATTTGTATCAACCTAACCTGCCTGGCATGCAGCATCAAGACATTTGCATTTTGGTGGCGTCTAGCTGAGGTTCAAAAGATTTATGCTATCATCGCGAAACTCGATAATCACATATCACAGTCAGCTGATAAGCAATTGTACATGGCCACAGTGAGTCGTGCCCAGCGTGTGCTCTACTTTATACTTTTCATTGGACTCGGTGCTGCGTTTTCATCGGAAGTTGCCACCATAATTGGTGGTTTTCTGGGTGAATGGCGTCTCATGTATCCGGCATATTTTCCCTTCGATGTAGAGCGTAGCGTCTGGGGTTACACAACCGCGCATATGTATCAGTGTATTGGTGTAACTATACAGATCTTCCAAAATATCATCAATGATACTTTTCCACCAATGGCATTGGCGATGTTGGCTGGCCACGTACGGTTGTTGAATGTGCGTGTGGCACGTGTGGGGCACGATGCACGCGTCGCCTCGGTGCGCCGACAGGTGTCCAATGCACAGTTCTTGTTGTGCGTGGAGGACTACAAAGACTTGCTAGAGTAAACTACCGTTATTTAGTTGTTGTTATTTGTATTTAATATTTGTGTATTTATTTACATTAATACGCACGCGCCTCTAGGTTTCGTATTGCAATTCAACGCATCTGTTCTCTTGGCACTTTTGTGCAAATTCTGGTTACCGCCATCAATATGGGTGTGGTCATTGTTTATTTAATCTTCTATGTTGACGGCATATTCGCATATATCTACTATACAGTATTTTTGTTTGCAATGCCTTTGGAGGTATTTCCGCTGTGCTACTATGGCACTTACATGCAGTTGGAGTTTGAGCAGCTAACCTACGCCATATTTTCCTGCAATTGGATGGAGCAGACTGTTGCGTTCAAGAAGAATCTACTCATTTTCGCGGAGCAGTCTTTGCGTAAGCAAGTCGTCGTTGCGAGTGGCATGTTTGCTGTTAATTTGGATACTTTTTTTGCGACTTTGAAGGGTGCATACTCGCTCTTTGCACTCGTGGTGCAAATGAAATAGAAACGAATAAAGCAAAGTTTGTGTATTTAGAAATGGTTTATTGTTGTTAAATTATACATTAGTGTATAACTAATAAAGCATTACATTATTTATAGCTTCAGCTTAAAGCCTTAGAACTTGGCGCTTAACAGGCTTGACCTGAGCTTTGAAAAAATCGCGTTTTGTTTACTCAATAAATTTTACAGGGACTGTGCCTTGATAATATAATATTAAATTATTTTCATTTTAACCAGCAAACCAGTTATTTTGTAATCTTTTGACCCTTACTGAATATCTCACGTTACTTAAATCGTTACGTTCTCAATAAAGTAGTCTCACCGAATGATTTTGAAGCATGTTGGAAATTTTACCTAAGCCTAAAGGTCGCGGTGTTTCGCTCTAAATACGAAGAAAAAGAAGTAAGGAGCACTACTTTGCAGCCAGTTAAACTTTGTCACTAGCTTCATAGCTGTCAATTGAACCTTACTGTACCCGATTTCATAAGTTATGGAAGCAATATTTTCAACAACTCACAAATCTTTACATTTTAATCTGTTTAAAGAGTGTTCAATTGAACAAATGTCGCACCTTACTTTATAACTTATGTTATATAATTACAACCTAATTACCATAATTACCAATTAAAATAAATAATCTAAAACGTCGTTAATTGTTATTTAATTAGAGTTAATACTCTTAATTATCACACCTAACTCAAATGACAGCAGAATAAAATAAATCACTGCCGTTAACAAAAAAAAATTAACAGCCAAAAATGCCAATAGACGAATTCTTGGCTTGCAGCATCAAGACATTTGCCTGGTGGTGGAGCCTGGCAGAGATTGCGCAGATTTATGCCCTCATTGTCAAGCTTGATAAGCGCTTTACGCAACCGGAAGACATGCAGTTTTACGCGTCAAACACGCTGCGTCCGTTAAACGTGTGCTGAATTTTTTAATGCTCGTGGGCATTTGCGTATTCATTGCATCCGAGGCCGCCACTATTTTTGCCGGTATTATAGGTGAATGGCACTTAATGTATCCGGCATATTTTACATACGACATAGAAGTGCATTACGTGGCGGCACATCTCTTATCAGTCTACTGGCATATTATTGATTTTTCAAAATGTCACCAATGACTCATTGCCTGCTATGGCACTACTAGCCGGACATATTCGGCTGCTGGGCAAACGCTCGCACATATTGTTAATACGGAGAGTGTTAAGCAAATGCAGCGTTACATTGAGGACTACAAGGATTTGCTTGAGTGAGCATCAACATGCGCGTTGTGATATTTCATGTGATTTTCTATGTGTATGAAATTTTATGGTTCGTCTATTATATGGTTTATTTGGTGGCAATGCCAATAGATTTCTATTGATTCTCGTTATGCTATTATGGCACTTGCATACAGTTCGAATTCGAGCAGCTGACTTACGCTATATTTATGCAATTGGATGGACCAGTCTGCCGTGTTCAAGCAGAATCTACGCATTTTCATCGAGCAATAGTTACGTAATAAAATTATTGTTACAGCTGGCATGTTTCCCGTAATCTTGGACAGATTTTTTGCCACGCTGAAGGGCGCCTATTCTCTGTTTGCTGTGATGAAACAAATGAAGTGAACATTAAACGTTCTTTATTTTCTATGGTTGGCAATGCGCGTTTCAAGAAATTCTGTTACATTTTTACTACAATGAAAACAATTTAAATTTCGTATACTTTGTAGTCAAAATAAGATTACAAAAGAGATCTCCACGAAATTTACAGCCAATATTTAATTCACCACCATATTGCCGCGTGTTTAGCCTGTGCCGTTATCGCACCTCGGAAAGACCTTAAACGACTTTATCTAAACACTAAGCTCTACACTATTTGCACACAAGTGTACGTAATTATTTAATTGCATATCTCAAGTGCGCACACATTAACTTCACGAAAATCTCATTTAAGCGTTTTTCAAAAACGCTAACCGAGTAAATAACGTTGCAATTTGTTGAATTTAAGAAAAGTGAATAAATAGAATTGCATGTGCCATCCCAGAAGTGTGCAGCGCAACTGATTGACTTTGACACGCAATTCTTAGTCACACGACGCCTCTAAGCGACCGCCCATTTGACTTTTATTTGAATGCATAATAATAAAACCAATTAGAGAAAATGCATGCATATGTATGTACATATGTGTTGTAATTTTCAAAATTGCGACCGAGAATTCTGTGCAAAATCATATAAAATCACGAAGTCGTTGAAATTGCGAATAAAATGATTGTTTATGGAATAATTGCGCTACATTATGCGCACTTACAATGTCCTTCTATACTAGCGACTAAGCCTATCTCTCACTGTCTGTCAGAATTTAACCAGTTTTAATGTTTAATGTTGGACCTATTAAGCTCTTCGGCAAAAAGAATTCATACTGCACCACACCACCATAATCACGGTCACTTTACTTTTTGTTCACAGTAGTGCGCAGGATTGTTTTCAAGGATTTGCCATACCGTACATTATTTCGATAAAAGAGCACTTCCCTGATCTTGAAATGAGGCGCCTCTTCGATTTCGTCCTTCAAACATTATAAAAGTTTTGTTTTGATGTTATCTTAATATACTATATAACATAGCTGATTGTAGGCTATTTCCACGCTATTGATTCGGATCATCGTATGCAGTTCACTCGAATGACTGTCGTTGGATTCCCGTTTGAAAAGTTGGATTTTTAGCATGAGAAGTTCGGATTTAAAACTATTGGAATCATTAGTAGCGTTCGATATATGTATGTGCGTATACTTGTTTTTTTTTTTCAAATTTTTACCCTTCGAGATGTTCGTAACATAATTGCAGAGTTGTATTCGGAGCTGTAGTAGGCGTAACGAATATAATACACTTAATTCTGTTTTTACACGGTGAATTGGTACTACAAAATAATACGTATAAAAAAGGCATTGATCATTCCCCTAAATTTGTGATATTTACAATTGATCTGACCAGTAAATTTGCTTGTATCGACAAAAAGAAAATTTATCCCAATTTGCTAAAAAATAAGTGAAAGTGAAAAAAATAAATGAAATAAAAATGAATCACTGTACAAAATTAAAAATTGTTTCATTTTCACACCATGTTAAATCAAAACCGCGAAAAAAAGACCGTGTATAAACAGAATTATGTATATATATAATTGTAAAATCAGTAACCACAACAATAAATTATGTAATCATGCAGAGGTCAACTGTCCTGTAAAAAGTTTGCCAGGGCTAACTGCAATTTTATAGGTGTTTCTCCTTCGTATGATTCATATGAAATTTTCGCTCACAGCCACGAAGTATTGCGCATATGCACCCCTGCATTTACCTAGCTTTGTATGAAACTCCTAGAGTCTGGAAATAAATATTTGTTCAGTGTTTATTTGTGTGTCATTACTGCTTCGTCTAGTGCAAAATCAACAAGCTTTACTTACGGCTAACAAAATGACTTGCAACGCCACACAACTACAATACACAAACTTATGGCAAAAAGAAAACACATTGTAAAATGTTTATATTAGTGATCGAATTGCATTACTGACTTATCTTTTTGCGTTTTTAATTTGTAAAACTTTAAATAGTTATTCTCACAGTTGCGTTTATGTTGCATTATAGCGAATAAATATTTGCAATCGATTCCATTTCAATATTATTTTGCATATGAATTTCATATGTATGTGCTTATGCACATATAATAGCATAGGTATACATGCTTAACTACATATGTTATAAGTTATGTGCAGTTTTATGTATTTATGTATTTATGTACATAAATTAGTTATTTCCAATTGTCAGCCTCTATTGTGTGCCTAAGAGCTTAATTCGAGGATTTCTTGCACACTGAACACTTGAGAATTAAAAAATAATAATTTTCACGTTAAGACTTAGAAAAGGTTCTGTAGTTCACACTATTTGTAAAACTTAATCGATTCATTATTGAAATAAAATATTCAAGAATTTTTTTAACACTATCATGAGGAATACAGATCTCTTACCTTGAACATTATTCTTATTAGAAAAACTGGGTAATATATTATGAGAGAAATATTATATTAAAACCCTTTTGGGATTTAAGATTTTTATTTAGACGCCTTGAAACTGAAGAAATCACACATTCGACTTTCAACGTTTAACTCAGCTTTGTAAACTGAATTCGATCCAATTCTGAAATATAACATCAAACGATTTTCTGTTACACATATTGATTTCATATTTTATTTGAGGTTATCATTATGTTCGTAGTACTTTTGCTACATGAGCTCATGACCATTGTGCGTAAGAAATTCAGAAGAGTTTTGATGCATGTATCGTAATTCATTTATTTGTTGTATAAAATTGGCAATTCTCATATCTCTAGTTCAGCAAATTTTTCTAGAATTCACACAACCGAAAAATGCTTCCTTTAAGCAATATTAATTTTTGAAAACTTAGTATTATAACTTATTATGTTAATTACACAAGGGCTCAGATGCAACATGGAAATATGATGATTGTGAATACTCTTCCGCACAGAGAGACTCTCGACCAGTAATGCATGACAACGAGCATGGTCAATAAAACATGCTCTATAAGTCACTTTGCTAAATAAATATAAACAGTTCTTTCGCGCCTATTAGAACTTGTATTTATATAAACTTTGTTCATATTTGTCTGGCAAACCAACGTCAATTCTTCGAGATGTATGTAAATACTAATCGTTAATATTTAATATTTGTGCATTGGTCGTTCCTTTCCGGTTGGGTGTGGCACTGCAATTGTCAATAGAATTTACAGGAAATTCGTCAGTTATTTAAACTAAATATAATTGAAAGCTCTCAAATATGTCTGTTTAGAATGTAAATGACAAAATTAATGTTGTCATTGAAAACAAATGGATGTCGGACCTATACAACTAAGGGCAAAGGGTTTTCTACAAGAAATTGCTAATAATACGGATTTATAAAAAAGTCAGCAAATAATAAATGCATTAACAATAATGAGTTTTTTATAAAAGCATCTTGAAAAAACTGATTTGCAACATCCTGTATTAGTTAAAAGTTGGTTGTTTTTTAAGGTTTTACAATTAATCATTTATGTAAATTTCGTTATTTATATAAATGTCGGTAAAATGTCTATAAATGAACCAAATATAGCTCAACTTATTAAGTCAGAACTTTTTACTGCGTTCATAAAGGGGCCATAGTACAATTATTTTACATTGTTGACTTGTAATCGCTTTTACTAAAAAAACTCCGATTTGAATATAGTCATATTTTCCATAACGGAAGGTGAAGAGCATCGTACAGAAGAATCAATATGTGGTTGTTGTTATAGCAGCTACAAAAACTCAGTTTATAATGTTAGATGTTAGATGGGTAGGTTGAAGTAGGCATGTACTTTGAAGTGTTGTTTAGTGTCATGTGTGAGACGTTGAACCTCGTCAATTTTATTTAGAAAAACGTCCTATTGTTATTCCTGTGTAATCAGGGAAGCTTGAAATGAAGTTATTTTCTTAACGCCCTTATTCTTTTATTTCTGAGTTTTTGGGCCATCTTCGCATTACAACAACTATCGTTTTTTAGTTCTTAAGCTAAATTTACAATTGAGCATTGCCAACAAATATAATTTACCTGTTTTAGCGTGCGCAAAAACGAAGCAAAGCTGCAAATGATCAGTTCTTCTCTTAAATCAGGAATATACACATTTATGTTATTATACCACGTTACGCCACTTATTCATGGTTCCTTTGTATATCTATGTTTGTAGGAATCTTCCAGCGCTTAATAATTTGCCCTAAAAAGAAAGAAAAAACTGTTGCATGTATTATGTAGTCGCTACTTTTTTGTCGAGCTATTTCTATTTGCTGTGAGCGGTGAATTAGCGTAAACTTTACGTGCCACCTCCGCGTTGAATTTTCAGGTATATGCCAAGTTTTTCTAGGTGCACTAGTCGTTGACACCGCCACAACTTTTCGAAATAGGTGTGGGTGTGCGTAGACTATCATTGGCCGGTTGTTGCGTTTTGTTGTTAACATTTTTTATACCACCTGTTATCGATTTCCCTCCACTAGCCAACAGCAGAACATTTGATTTGCCAATTTACAAATGGATTCACACTTAAGTATATGTATACACATATACAGTTATATGTATATACCAAAGTAATTACATATGTGCCACAAGTAAATGCAATTTATTAGTAAAACGTTATAATTTAAGTAAGTATTCAATAAGTACCTGCTTTGTATCCACAAAGGAAGAATGTGTTGTCATCAACGCTTTAAAGTTGCCACCCAATTGCATGCATTCGCTTTGGCGTCAGTCGCGTCTCTATTTACACACAGTTCAGTGGGTGTAAGCAATAACAATAATTATTTGGTATTATTTTGTAAAACCAACATTTACAGCAACACATTTTATGTGGTAAATTGTGCTTAAAAATCTGTGGTAAATAAACATTCTCTGAAATTATCGGAGTAAATGGAATAACCGATTTGCAAACATTTTTTATGAGGCTTATTACGAATATATACATCTGTACGTATAAGGCAAAATATTGAAATTTGCATTTAATTGCGCCTAATAAAATGTTTACTAAAAATAAACAGGACTTACTTTTTTACATTGTATGGCAACCACTTAAACCAAAGCCTATAGTTAAGCAAAATTTATATGAATATATTGTTTTTTTAATCATTTAATAAATAAATAATAAAGCTTCGTCAGAATGTCTATAAATGCACTTTTTAAACCACTATAACCACTATATTTTATGAAAAGAATTTCATATTTGGATGGTGATAGCACATAAGAGTAAGTTAATTCAATTATTATTTGCATTTTTGTAGCGAAATGTTTGCCTTTGTAGTAATTGTGCTAAAATTTACTCAAAAATAAAAAAGAACCGGAAACATATTCTTTAAAAGTTCCGTGTTTTTACAATAGACAAATATACTTACTTATTTACGCATGAGTGTGGGTACCATATGTAAAGCGTTGTAAGTGCCGTTTCAGACAGGGACGCAAAAGAGTCTCAAACCAGTTTATTGTGGGCGAGGGGACGACGAGGAAAGACGAAGGGACCGTGCCACTCGTGTTCGGGTGGCACGCTTTGTGTTCTTTTTCGTAACAGCTCGCTGCTACCCTTTTCAGCATTCCTTTTCACTATCAAATCCTTTGAATGGTTGCAAGAGCGCTCGGTTTCAAATGAATTCGATCGCAAATTTGAGTTCTGTTATCTATTTTTGTATGTAATATGCAAATATGTATGCATAGAATAATAGAAATATTATGACAAATTGTAAATAAGGAGAAAATTAAGATATAGATTATGGAGTAAAGAAATTATGAATTTTTAATACGGAGTAAAGAAATTATGAGTTTTTAATACTTAAAGATTAGGAAATTGCTATTATAAATTTGGCCTTGAAAATATTAGTTGCGGATATTCAATACATTCTTGTGGATTAGGGAATTCCCGTCTTTAGTATTTTTTTGAAACTATTTAGCGGGTAGGTACTTGTATTATGCATATTGTTCTACCATATTCATGGTAATTCATTGCAAGCAAAATGTGTGACCATCATCTCAACATACAAATGAAATACGCAGCACGCAGTGTTGCGCGGTGTTGCGCAGTCGAACCGCACAAATATTTACGAACATTTTGTGAAAAGGAATGCAGAAAAACTAGACTCGAGTTGCTGGACTCTTTTTGACCGTGTGAATGCCCAGAGCGACACCAAAAGAAAATTTGAAAAAGATCAGACTCTTTTGCATCCCTGTCTGAAACGGCACTAATAGAAATTGGTAACAACGGGTAAATTAAACATCTGAAGCTGTACTTGTAACATTTTCCCATCTTTCTTGTAATATGTGGATTCCAATAAACCTGATGTGAACCGTATTCCTGTGAGGGCGTTCTGCATCGATCGGAACAAATGGTAGTCAGAAGGCCCAAGGTTTGGGCTATAAGGCGGGTGAGGCAAATTTTCCCAATTATTTTACAAATAGTTTTTTTTACCAGTCTTGCAACATGAAGCCGAACGTTGTCATGATGGAAATTTATCGTCGCGTGTCTAGTCGCAAATTCTGAATACACCTTGGCGTCATGGATATTGGTCTTTGCCGTTAGTTGAAACCGTCAGAGACCCTATAATGTATATATGGTATATAACTGATTAGCGTGACAAGCTGAGTCGATTTAGTCATGTCGATCTGTCTGTTGTTTGTCGTCTGCCTGTGTATACGCTGAGTAGTAGTCCCTTAGTTTTTGAGATATCGATCTGAAATTTTGCACAAGTCATTTTCTTCCCAAGAAGCTGCTCATTTGTCAAAACTGCCAGTATCGGACTACTATAGCGTATAGCTGTCATACTAACTGATCGATCACAATCAAATTCTTGTATCGAAAACCTTTTTTATTTGAAAAGATATCTTCACGAAATTTGCTATAGCTATATATAGCTGCTTTACAAACTTTCTAAATCTAAATCAAGATAAAGATTTAATACCATTTTTATTTAGTAAATGTACTACACTAACTCTAAGTAAGTAACTTGTGAAGAGTATTTTCAAAGTTTTTTTTTTGTACTCAATTAAAACTGCTATTCCTAGGGATTGGCTTTCACCTGCCAATTTTGACATAACAGTGGTCACTAATTTTCTAAATTGTTATGCGAGTGATTTAAATTTTAAAAGGTGCTTCATTTCGGTCTTAAGGGGGTATTTCAGTCTAGGGCATAAGTTTCTGGTAGATTTTGAATCGTAATAAAGGCAATTCGTATTTTGACTATCCAGTTTTTTTATTAGTTATTTACTAACATTACAAGAATACAGAAAAAGCCAAAAAAGTTTAAAAAAAATTATTAATCTAGAAAATCTGGAAGTAAGGAAAAGTTGAAAAAAAAAATCTTTCATGAAATGGCGACTGCTTGAAAAAAAAACATTTCTTACCATTTTTGGACTGTTTCAAATTTTTTAAAAATAGTATAATGTGAAATTTGGAGATATAACATGATCTGAACTCGAACTAGTCTATAAAGAACACTCTCTTAAAATTTCAGGTACATCGATTTGAAAAAGACAGTTTCGAGAAAAGCTCGCTTACAGTTTTAAGTTAAAACTAAACCGGCCAAGTTGCAACGACACTAAAACGGCTATAAATTTGAAAATAATTCGAATTTTGAAAAATCCTTTTAGAGAGATATATTATTTAGATATTTCAAAATTTCTAGACTAGAATACTTAAACATTTGTTTGGTTAGCTAGCATCTTGAATTCAAGGAAATTATGACAATTGTAGAGCACAAATACGTTTTACTGTTCATCCGATAATATTGATAAATACTCAATCAAAAAACATGTCATAGTGAGGAGTAATAATTATTTATAAAAGTATTTCCTGTTAAATTTCATCTTTTATCACCCTTTATTTGACGCGTGAAATTAATTTTTTCTATTTCTCAAGATGAAGTTGCAAAGTGTTACAGCGTTTTGCTAAAATTAAGCGGTGTTTATGATGCAACATAAAAAAAGGTTATTTCTTTCGCTTTCTCCATTTGCCTTTCGCTCTTCCATACGCAACTTTTCGGCTGGAAATTACGCTCTCTCCCTTAATATTTTGTTGTATTGTGAAATGGTGAATGAAAGCGCGCGCTTACAAGGTCTCGGTAATAAAAAGTGTATGGTATACACGTGTGTAACTGTGTGTATATTTAAATTTCTGTTAAGCTAATATTTAAATGAGAATTCCGATTTGATGACAGTTGTTGTCATACATCTTCCCTAGCGCATTTCGCGCCTGAATGCGTGTGCACGAGTGTTTGTTTACTAATGAAAAATGACAGTAAAAAATAGAAATGAACAATTGTGAGACCTTCACACCTGTAAGCGTCTGCTCTTACTCATTTAATGCACTTTTACCGAAAATTGTTCATTTATATAAAAGTCAAGCCGCAACGCTAATTGATCGCCAATAATTTCGTACATTCCTTCCCTAATTTGTTGCTTTTGCTTTTGTACGTCGTTTAGCCGATCTGAGCATTTGCGCACATAACTCAGCATAATATAACACTTACATATGTATATACATATTTACAATCTTATCGCAATAAGTTAATGTGGCTATTGATCATGAAACTGGTTTCCGACCACATTTTCAGCTGTTTGTACCTAATTGGCATTTGCTTTGATTGAGAGATCGTGGTTGCCTTAAGTATGTACATTTATAAACTGTCAAACCACAAGTAACCCAGTTTGTTTTGCTCTCTCTTTTTACGGCGCCTGATTTCTTTCTCTCTGTTACAAAAGAAATTTATTTCGATGTAATAATAGCAACTCTGCAAAATGTTTAAAACATATTAATATCATTATTTTGATTTTCGCACATTTCCGGTTTTGTTAAGTATGTACAGTTTTTTTTTTATATATACAAATCCGAAGGCGCCCAGATAAGTGCTAAGTTTTACCGCTCGATGGCGCCACTATTGAAAGAGAATACTGTCAAACAACTTCAGCCGAGTCGGACTCAGCTTTGTTTTGACCGCGCGTAGGAAACTTGATAAATATACCGCCATATTTCCAAAATTTTCCTTCTTTAATTTGTACTTATCGGACCCGCTCGTAAATGTCTACGCAACTTTACCATATTCGTTGAGAGTTACGTGAATAACCTTTTCATATTCCGTCTATTATAGCGTTTCAACTAATACACGTTTTCTACTTTGCAAAATCGTTTTTTCTTTGTTTTATATTAAAACTAACGGTTTTCTTTTAACTACCTATCGACTCACCTGTTTTCGCCGTTATTTTGGCGCGTGTGTTGGCAAATATTGTTATTGTATAATTTTTAGTTTTTTGCTACGCATCTATTTTCCTTTGCTGTATACGGTTTTGTGGGTTAAGCATTGTCCAATGCTTTAATACAGTGGTGGTTAGAAAAATATTACAATTACAATTTTTGGAGCGCGAAAAATAAGAATTAAAAATAAAACTGATAATAAATGATAAACTATGAACACATACACTATGTAATCTCTAAAAAAAATATGAGAAAGATATAGTTTTGCACCATGATGTATATGGTAAGTAACTTTTTATATTCATTTTCAATAATAACACAACACCCCTGGTTGTGGAATCCATTAAGGGTTTGCGTAGTTGTCAGAATTGCAAACCAATTCTGATTTTAAATAGTGTCACAAAATCTGATTGAATTTTCGTCTCTTCAAACATATGCATAACCAATATTCGAATCAGCTGTTTACTATTGTGACAAAACTTGCAATTAATTTGATAAATTCGAAATACCGAATAAAGTCGCCTAAGGTAAACAATGAGTTCCGCTATTTAAGCTTTATTTTACTGGAAGAAAAAAAGCAACGAAATTAATAAGCAAAAGTTATAAGGCAGATATTAAAAGATCCCAGTAATTTCCTTGATGCACCAGGGTAGTCGCATGTGAAATTTGGCTTGCATTTACTTGTATGTTTGTACACATGCTTACTTTACAGATTTATACCACATTATTGACTGAATAAAAACGCATTTGGGTGTTAGATTACGTTTGTTATGTTTTGTAAATCCTCTTAAAATATCTGGATTTTTTCCATAATCTCAATATATATGACATTTTGTGTTTTATTCTTATGT